CAGACGCTGCTGGAATGTTGCTACATAGAAATGGGAAGTTCACAATTGGGAAGCTGAAATCATCTCTTTTGTCTTTACGTTTTGTTTACAACAGACCATCATTGTCAATTTCTAGATGTAAGTCTAGATATGAGGCAGACGTAAGTGTATTTGTTTTATCCTTTATCTCAAGTTGAATGAGATTGATCCGCTCAACATAGTCATCAAATTTTGAAATATGTAGTGAGAGAACATCATCTATATAGCGTAAATGAAGTTAAAGGATATTGCTAACTTTTTATCTTTCTTCCTAAGACGTTCCTGTATGAGGTCAGCCTCATTTGAATTAAAGAACAAGTCGACAAGAAGAGGAACACAGTTGGTTCCCATGGGAACGCCGATTAAATGTTGAAAAACACGTCCTCCAAAAGTGACAAATATGTTGTCAATCAAGAAATCAAGCATCTTGATAATGACAGTTTCAGAGAAGATTTTGTTTGAATTAGAGTGATTTTTTACAAAGTACCATTACACCTCCCTAAGACAAGAAACTTGTATCTACGTAGGTCATTCTTTTTATGAAACAAAGCAGGATCAACTCTTTCAATTTGTCTTTTAATTCGGAATTGGGAATTCTTGTGTAAAGTGAAGAAAAAGTCAAATGTTTTGATATAGTGATATAAGCTCATATACGTTAAATTTCAATCTGTTACGGATATTGTGTAAGTCACTCATGCCCATATATTGCACCATTATAAGTTTGTTACATGAACATTAATACTATTTGTTAATGTTTCATATTTGTTTTAAAAGCCTTCATGTTTGTTTTGTATGATATATTTTGTTATTTATTCAGCATTTCACATGCAAACAACTTTTAAGACATAAAATAAAGAAAGGAGTATATAATCATGATGTTTTGCATTAATACAATAACTGTTAAAAAGTTTATCTTTGACTAGAAACTATTTAATCATAAGATATATAATTAATAATTAGATAATAATATGCTTAAGTTTACATACGTTTTCCTACACTAAAATTAGTTACGGCACTTTGACCTTTATTTGGCTTTTGTTCCTTTGCGTTATGAAATAAATGTTATCACATGAAACATAATGATTATTCATTCAGAGATTACTTTTCGTTTATAGAATGATCAAACCTTTATGGTTTATATTTAATACAAGGGATTAAAGCTTAAATTGAATAGAATAGAAACCAATCAAGAACATGCTAATTATTTTAGTTTTCATTTAGTGAGTGATAAAGTTAATAATTTACGATAAACAATCCTTCTTTAAACCCTTATTCATCTGGATTGATGTGATGTTTTTTTGAGTTTATTGCCTGAACACCAGAATAGTATTATCATATTCCTAAATATTTAAACATGAAAAAGAATGTTATCACCTTTATAATTATTTTACAAAACAAGAGAGGTAACTTTTTAAGAAATGTTATCTTTATTTTAACTACCGTCTAATAATTTCAAATCTGATCAACGCAAAAGTAGGAAATGGTTTACGGGATTAAACAAATAATGAAAAAACATAATACTTTGGCTTTTTCTGTGACAAAAGCTTACTGATCTCAATGAAATGACAGGAGTTTCATTCTGACTTCACGTGGTCTATTATAGTCAAATGTATGCTTAGAATACCTCAAATATTAATATATTATGGTTACAAAGTTTATAATACAAAATAATCAGGTCAGCTTTGTGTATTTACATACAAAATATCTTGGCTTTTCTTTTTAAGAATCTTCCTTAACATATCCATACAGTTGCAATAACATAGTCAACACAAGCTAATATATCTAGTAATACAAAACAGAATATGTGTCCATTCGACCTTGTTATGAACATATTTTTAAATTGCAAGTTGTTGTGACCAAACTTTAATATGCAGTACACTACCTTAGTTTTTCAACAGACTCTTGGAATTCCAATGGGAACCAATTGTGTCCCTCTTCTTGCCGACTTGTTTCTTTATTATTATGAGGCTGACTTCATACAGAAACTTCTTAGGAAGAAAGATAAGAAGTTAGCAATATCCTTTAACTCTACGTTCCGCTATATAGATGATGTTCTCTCACTAAATACTACAAAATTTGGTGACTATGTTGAACGAATTTATCCCATCGAACTAGAGATAAAGGATACTACAGATACAGTTAAGGCTGCCTCATATCTTGACTTACATCTACAAATTGACAATGAGGGTCGGTTGAAAACAAAACTTTACGACAAAAGAGATGATTTCAGCTTCCCAATTGTGAACTTTCCATGTCTATGTAGCAACATTCCAGCAGCGCCTGCATACGGAGTATATATCTGCCAATTGATACGATATTCCCGGGCTTGTGTTTCCTATCATGATTTCCTTGATAGAGGATTGCTACTCACAAGGAAGCTATTAAACCAAGAGTTCCAAATGGGGAAGTTGAAATCAACCCTTCGTAAATTTTACGGACGCCATCACGAGTTGGTTGACCGTTATAGAAAAAACGGTTCACAGATTATATCGGATATGTTCCTTATGTCGTAACTACACTACCCTCCCTTTTCACGAATGTGACTTACCGAATTAGACTATTTACCGGATTTGTAATAACATAAGCAAAACGACGGGTGCCACATGTGGCGCAGGATCTGCTTACCCTTCCGGAGCACCTGAGATCACCCCCAGGTTTTGGTGGGGTTCGTGTTGCTTAGTCTTTGGTTTTCTATGTTGTGTCATCTGTACATGTACTATTATTTGTCTGTTTATCTTTTTATTTTTGGCCATGTCGATGTCAGTTTGTTTTCGATCTATGAGTTTGACTGTCCCTCTGGTATCTTTCGTCCCTCTTTCAAACCAACACTTTAACCTTATTATTGGCAGACAGATTTGTTGCTTTATATCATAATTATTTTTGCGTTAATTGTTTTGTTCATAAATAAAATAGTTAAATTTCTCGTTTGATTTGTTTTACATTTTACATTCCGGAGCCTTTTATAGCTTACTATGCGGTATGGGATTTGCTCATTGTCGAAGGCCTTGCGATGACCTATAGTTGTTGAATTTTATGTCATATGGTGTCTGGTGGAGAGTCGTCTTATTGGCAATCATACCCCATCTTCTTATTTCTATTTTTACACGGGGCTTCGAAAATCATTTATTTAAATTGGATTTTTTTTTTAGATTTATATCGATAGAATGTTTTGGGTTAATGATTGAATATTAAGTGACTATGCATTGACACATCGAACAATTAAGATAACTGCACATCTATACAATGATTGCAAGTTTGTGTGCAATTTTATGTATAGTTGATTTCTTTTCAATAGTATAAATATTTACGAATCCATTGTAAAATATAAGAGCGTGACCAGGTAACAGACATGAGGCAAACATATATGATATTTTATAGTGTGTCTTTCTATGTTGTGATGTAACACTATTGTTTCAGAAAAAGGGTGAAGGTTTGGTACCATTAAAACTTTTAAACCCGCTGCAATTGTTTGCACCTGTCTTAAGTCAGGAATATGATTTTTAGTAGCTGTCGTTTGTTGATGTGGTTCATAAGTGTTTTTCGTTTCTCGTTTGTTATATAGATTAGACCGTTGGTTTTCCCGTTTGAATGGTTTTACACTAGTAATTTTGGGGCCCTTTATAGCTTGCTGTTCGGTGTGAGCCAAGGCTCCGTGTTGAAGACCGTACTTTGACCTATAATGGTTTACTTTTATAAATTTTGACTTGGATGGAGAGTTGTCTCATTGGCACTCACACCACATCTTCTTATATCTATCTTTGTTTTTTAAATACTCTACATACTGATCTGAAAAAATCTGTTTCTAAATGTTTTAATTGTTTATATTTTCCTATTATTGTTAGATAGAATGCATAATGATTTGCATAATGTAAATTGTATATGATAGATCTGTCCATAAACTTAACATAAAAGACGTAGCCTCTAGCAAATGACATTGACATGCTAGTCATAGTAGTAACCTTTTAAACCTGTGATTGTTTAATTTAAATCTACGTAGTTTTTTATGTGTGTGGTTGTGGATTTAAAAAAAAAATCCCCCATTGAGCAGTATTTCCTTTAATCAAAATAGTATAAAAGTGGAATGCTTTCTCAGTGTTCTCTATCACATCTGATCTTGTCCATCTTCAAATACTTTCGAAAAACAAAACACAGGTTAGTTATTTACCTTATTTGTTTCTATCACTTTTGATAATTTTTATCATCTTAGCTTTTCCAATCTGATATCTATATGATAGTTAAATAAATATGCGTCTTCACTTTGCAGTGAAATATCTTAAATTTAAATGCATAACTTTATGAAAAGTTTACTCCGAAAGGGCATGTATTGCTGTATTTAGATATATTTCTATGCCGAATTTATGGGCATTATGTTTTTCAATCTGTGCGTATGTCATCAGTTCGTTCGTCCGTCCGTCTGTCCCGCAATTAACTTGAAACTTAGTACACATGTGTCGTATGATATGATCTTTCTAATTTTAATGCCAAATTAAAGTTTTGTTCCCAATTTTACAGTCCACTGAACATAGAAAATGATAGTGCGAGTTGGGCATCCGTTTACTATGGACACATTCTTGTTTAATATATTTTCTCAATTTGGTCTTTTAATGATACAGGAAGATAAGAGATAATTGTGTATTAGATTTTATGTAACTTTTCAAATTAATGAGTTTAACAAAATTTCTTTAAATATGAGTGGCTTTTTTTGTATCTTATTGTTTGCAATGCAGCCTTTTCATTAGTATTTTGGTGTAAACATTTTTCTATAAACTGTTATTTTTTCCGGTCGTAGCGTGAATATAGTTTAAATCACAAATTAATTTTAATATAATAATTTTGATGTAATTAATCTTTTTTTTGTATAGAAACCATGAATACATTAGTCGTAGTTATTTTGTTTGCTGTGATGGTTACTTTGGCCACTGCTCGCGGTTATGATACATACAATAGAAATCAGAGATCATGGGATTTGCTCGGATCTAGAGGTCTGAATAATGGATGGAATAGTAGAAATCTGAATAATGGATGGAATAGTGGTTGGAATGGCGGACATCTGACAGGGGGATTAAATGGCGGATATCGAAGTAATATTTTACAACATTTATACCTTGTTATATATACTGATTCCCAATATTCATTATCACTGCTTCATTAACAACCGTTTTGGCTTGATACTTACAATTCAATTGAAGTACCCTTTTTCAAATGATGTATTTTTACTAACAAAAGTATTCGTAACACCTTCCGTACATTTATTTGGGTATTTCTTTCTAAAAGTGTTCATTTTCATACACTATCGTTGCATTTTTATTCCCAATATACTTTGTTTCAGATGTAAAGTTGATAAAAAAAGCTTACATATTAGCATAAGATGAAAGTGCGTCAATAGGTTAATAATTAACATGTATTTTTAAAGCACCAAAATATTCTGAACTACGACGTGAATTAATTGTAGAATAGATATGATAATTGTAATAACTTTTGTAGGACACAAAAGAGCAGCTACTGGATACGGCTCATATGATCCATACAGAAGCAGTCATTTTGACAGTGGATTAGGACGGTTGGACAGATGGGGAACAAATTCAGGAAGGAGATCTAATTTAGGATGGAGATCTAATTCAAGATGGAGTCAGCTAGGTATGTTTCGATTATTTGTCTGATGATGGAGAAAATAAAAACTCACTTAATCTTTTATTTAAGTGAGAGATTTAACTCTGATTATATCTGTATGATACAGAAAATTTACCAATCGAACTTTCAAGCTTACGAGTTTCTATTTCTGTTTAAAGATGTACATCCCATACATTTACTGTCAAAAAGGTAGGGGTCGATATGAATCTGATTAACGATTACAGTGAGTACATTTTCATGTTCAGCAATATTTAGCTTTTTTATATCGAAATAATGAAGTAGCTCTAAACATAATAGAAAAAGAGCAGTGTTTTTTTTATGATATTTGTATATTGTAAAGATACATAATATTTTCAAATTAACTGACATTACTTTTATTTTACAGGATATTAAGAATGCTGAGGACACAAGGAGTACATTACAACATCTAAACATGACATCAGCCATCCGTAGATTTTTACTTTTTCAAATAAAATTTGTGAAATTAATATGCATCTTTATTCTATTTTTCTATAGTACTGTAAATGTATTTGTAACTTAAAGTCTAGAAATTTGAGTATACTGCTGAACAAGAAAATATTTATTCTTCCAGAAAAGGTACACATGGACAGTAAAAAAAATTAAAAACACTTATTTATAACATCAATTGTTTTGTCAAAAGCGCTTTTCTGGAGTTTCCTTCAAAATCAACGCTCATAACTTAAATACCTGAGAGCCAAAGATGTTTAGCTGATTAATTAAGCTTATCATAAACACGCACAGAGCTCTTTGATCAAACAAAGCCTAAAATGATAACCAGGTCAACTTTGACTGAGAGAGTTGGTACGTCAATTTCTATATTAATTTCTCAATTTAATTGCAAAAGTATGTTACTGATCATGTCTGTACCGAAGCAACGACTAAAAGGCTGCTAATACCAAGTTGGGACTAACAGTCTACCAGCAGTGGTATCGATTTAGTGCTAGAAAAATGAAAATAGCGCTTTATAAGTTTGTTGCATCTAACGCGCTTTTCTGTACAAGAAAGGCGAAAGATACAAAAGGAACATTCAAACCCATAACTTCGAAATGAACTGACAATGCAAGGACTTCAAAAGAAAAAGACAAACAGACTAACAACAGTACACAAAACACATCATTGAAAAAACTTAAGACGGCAAGATGAACCCCACCAAAAATGTTGGGTGATCTCAGGTGCTCCGGAAGGGTAAGAAGTCCACATGTGGCACCGTCGTGTTGCTCATGTTAGTACAAACCCGGTTATAAGTCTAATTCGGTAGGTCCCATTCAAAGCAATTGGAACAAATCCGTTGTCATCTATGAAACGGTCAACCAATTTGCGATGGCGTCCGTGAAATTTACGGAGGGATGATTTCAATATCTTTTATTAGGGGCACTTATACTCGGTGGTAAATACTCCGGTACTGACATGATTTATGACAAACCTTTAATTTTCCTTTTCTATAATTTAGAAATGATTAAAAATCTAAAGAGAGGCAAAAGATACCAAAGGGACATTAAAACTCATAAGTCGATAATAAACTGATAACGCCATGGCGAAAAAAAAATGACCACCTGACAAACAACAGTACACAAAACACAACATAGAAAACTAAAACTGAGCAACACGAACCCCACCAAAAACTGGGGTGATCTCAGGTACTTCTGAAAGGTAAGCAGATCCTGCTCCACATGTGGCACCCGTCGTGTTGCTCATGTTAGTACAAACCAGGTAATAATTATGATTCGTTAGGTCACATTCGAGGAAAAGGGGACGGGATTGTAGTTACGACATTTTTAACATATCTGCTATCATCTGTGAAACGGATATTCCATAACGGTCAACCAACTTGTGATGGCGTCCGTGAAATTTACGAAGGGATGATTTCAACTTCACCACTTGGAACTCTTGGTTTAAAGACTTACTTGTGAGGAGCAACTCTCTATCAAGCAAATCATGGTAGAAAATATAAGCACTGGAATATCGTATCAACTGGGAGATATATACTCCGTATGTAGGCGCTGCTGGAATGTTGCTACATAGAAATGGGAAGTTCACATTTGGGAAGCTGAAATCATCTCTTTTGTCGAAAAGTTTTGCTTTGAACCGACCCTCATTGTCAATTTCTAGATGTAGGTCAAGATATGAGGCAGACTTAACTGTATCTGTTGTATCCTTTATCTCAAGTTCGATGGGATAGATGCGTTCAACATCATAACAAAATTTTTAATCATTTAGTGAGAGAACATCATCTATATAGCGGAAAGTAAAATTTAAGGATACTGCTAACTTCTTTTCCTTTTTCCTAAGAAGTTTCTGTATGAAGTTAACCTCAAATGAATAAAGGAACAAGTCGGCAAGAGGGGCACAGTTGGTTCCAATAGAAATGCCGATTGTTTGTTGAAAAACATGTCCTCCAAACGTAACAAATATGTTGTCAATCAAGAAATATTGCATCTTGATAATGTCAGATTTCAACTCCTTCAGGCAAAGTTGACCTTCGATGGATTTCGCTACTATTTCTTTTTTTTCTTTTTGGTCATACAGGTCCTCAAATGATTCTGTTTGGTTTTGTGCGTCCTGACAAAGGTACATCCGTAAAAACGCATCAGACAAATTAGATTTATAAAGCGTTTTTTTTTTAATATTTTATACCTACTTAACACAACAACATGTATCTTAAAACAATATAAGATCTTGTCAAAAAACAAAGTATAAAAACAAATTCGCTTTACGTAGAATAATCCTATAAAAAAGAGGGACGAAAGATACCAGAGGGACAGTCAGACTCATAGATCGAAAACAAACTGACAACGCCATGGCGAAAAAACAAAAAGACAAACAGACAAATAATAGTACAGATAACACAACATAGAAAACTTAAGACTAAGCAACACGAACCCAACCAAAAAGGGGTGATTTCAGGTTATAAAAACTGTTAGAAGGCCAACTTTTTAGATCTCAATACTATAAAGAGAGTCGAGAGTTATAAGGGGGAACCAAAACTCATTAGTGGACGAGAGACCAATTAAAGTATGGGAAAAAAACTAAAATCTATGAAACAAACAAACAACTCAACAATACACTTCATAAAAACTAATAATTGCGAAACACGAACCAACCTGTTCGTTCTTCCATTTCCTGTTATGAATTTGCAACTAAGCCTATACACATTACTACTTTTTTTTAAAAGTTTCTCCGAATCTTATCAATAGAACTGCACACGTACTGTGTACTTTTACAGTTGTATTTCATCTCAATTTATTTTGGGGTGTTCCTTGACAAATCAACTCTGCCTTTGCATTATATAGGGTAACCAGTCAAGCATCTGCAACTTCTCATAAACCCCTTAATAGAATTAAGAAGATTTAGCTGTATTCTCTCATATTATCCAATTACACCTATATCTTTTTATTGGAATTATGTTTGGAGTTTCCCTAAACAATCCATTGACTTCATTATTGCTCTTACTTAATGGTAAACGTTTTATATCTACAATTATCTAAAACCCTATATTTTAGAATATTTCATTTTGACTAAAAGAACCAACAAAACAGGCGTTGAGTTCAAGAAGGTATTGGAGTTGAATTGAAGTAAAAACTCAGTCAATACTCGAATCTTCGCGAAAAAATAAATTGATTCTAGTAGAGTATCCGTCCGTGTACATTCACGCCAACCATTTTTCATTTTAAGATGAAAAATAGATTTTGCAAATTGCTCTGCAACTTTTAAAGGTAGTTGGTTTGAAAAATGTAACAAAAATCTATTGAAGTCACTTTCGAAAAACCATTTTCTCTATGAGATTTGAAAATTGTTATTTTCATGAAATTATATTTTTGATTTCACGAAGATATTGAAACAAATATCAATAAGTTTGTGTTAAAAATGATTTTATTTTGTCAAAAGTTTAAATATATTAAAACATTTGTATTTGCTTGTTTTAGAAAACAAAACATATTTCAATCTAATTCTTAAAAGCAAATATTGAAAATGCTGACCTTTAGCATTTTTCAATTTCACTTACAATATTGAAAAATGAAAAATGCTCTATTATGGAGCATTTTTCAATTTGACTTCAAATATTGAAAAATGAAAAATGCTCCAACGTGGAGCATTTTTCAATTTGACGTTTGATATTGAAAAATGAAAAATGCTCCAATTTTTCATTTTTCATTTTGCTGTGCAATATTCAAATTTGAAATTTTTTTATTATTTAAATGTCTAATAATGAGAACGAAATGTATTTGTTTCAATATAGGCGTTTTAAATGTTTAAATTGTTGACACTTTTTATTAAATGTTTTACTATTTCCGTTTTCTTTTTTCTTGTTTTAAGCGCAATATCTTGAAGATCTTTTTAAGGTGTGTGTGTGTGTGAACTATGTGTGGTATCAACAAATTCCGAACAAGAATGGTACACTGACAAGTACGATAATGACCACAAAAAATCATTCTTTCTTTTTATCTATATATCTAGCTGTCTTTGTAGCTACATGTTTATATCTATCTTTCGATCTATCAATCTGTCATTCATTCTTTCTATCTATCTGTCTATCTATCTGACTTTTGTTTATCTTTGTCTTTTCTTTCTTTGAATTGTCAGGGTTGAAATCTTTAATTTAGTTCTCTCGAAGTGAAGAAGTCACCTGTTTACATACATGTACAAATGTACATGTTGTAAGAATGGAAGAACTTTTAGACCATCGATGTTTGATTCAACAAATGATACTTGACGGAAGAACACACCAAGACATTTCTCAATACTTGACTTCTTTAGGAATCAAGCATGTATCAGCGCGAACAATAAGCCGTTTTTGTTCTGAAAATGGAATTATTAGGCGATGAGGAGTAGACGAAGGAGCATTAAACCATATCGTGGCTGAATGTGTAAAACATGTTAGAAAAGAAGGGAAAATATTAGAATATAAGATATTGTCCATGTCAGTTTCTGTACATGTTCAAGGAGGAGGGTTCGCGGGTGGAGTGGGGTGGGGAGGG